TCACTCTTTTCGGATAGTTGTTGAGTCATGTAATATTCTGGATCTAGATAGCCCTGCAAATGTTAAGTTTTTTAACTATCAATTTGCAGCTAATAAGAAATGGAGCACGGATTGGTCTTAGAAGGCCTGAGCTTTACCTACGATAAAATTTTAAGGTCTGAGTCTGGAATATGGCCTATTATAGGGTTTTTTTTGCCCGAGACTAACATAAACAGGATAGAAGATCTCAAAAACATAAGAAATGGTACAATGTTACTCACCAATGTTCCTTTAACCTGAGTTGAGACATGGCTTTTGTCACTGTCTGATACAAGCTTAGACAGGCCAAAATCTGCAACCTTTGCAGTCAAATTTTCATCTAGCAAGATATTGGTTGACTTCACGTCTCTGTGAATTATGGGAGGGTTGGCAAGTTCGTGTAAGTATGCTAGTCCTCTAGCTGAGCCGAGAGCGATACGGAGTCTCCTCTTCCAATCAAGTTGAATACCAGATTTCCCTGCAACTCACATTGGTTAGAATCTATCAAATGTTTTTCTTTCGGAGAATAAGCTTAGCTTTGAGCTTGAGTGTTCGTTCATTGCGAACTGACCTGACAAACCCTCCCTAAGTGTTCCATTGTAGATGAATTCATAAACCAACATCTGTTCTCCTTGTTCAAAGCAGAATCCAACAAGGCTAACAAGATTCTTGTGATGAACTCTTGAAAGCAATTCGATTTCATTCTTGAACTCTAGACCTCCTTGCATTGATCCTTGCTGAGCTCTTTTAATGGCAACTATTTTTCCGTCAGGGGAAACTCCTTTGTACACCTAGAGCCAATAATAGAGAATCATGAAACTCATCATGTTTACTAAATCAAGACTCAAACCACGAATAGGAAGACTTTTTTCCGAATCTTATTATGAATCATAAGATACTGATGAAAACATCTCCCTAAACTAGAAGTATGTTAACATTAAGGAAATACCTTGCCATAGCCACCGAAGCCTAACTCGTTGCTTCCAGAGAAGTTATCGGTACACTTTTTGAGTTCGTCGTAAGAGAACCTTCTTGCTCCCTTCAATTGTGGTGCACCTCCACTATCCTTGACACTTGTTGCCCAAGATGCTGGAAGAAAGGGATTTCTGTGAGGTGATGATAGTTAACAAGAAAATTAAAGTGAGAACCTTGTATAATTACCAAACGGTCTACTTATTCCAATAGCTTTCTCCGCGCGCTTCTTTTGCAGGATTGCATATATAGCTAGCCCTATAAAGCACAGAATCAGAACTGCACTTCCACTTGCTATCAAAATAATAGCACATCTGCTGAGAGAAGTTCCTCTGCGCGAATCTGAAATAATTTAAATATCACTGTCACCAGCTGCATAGAAGTTGCAATTGTAATCACATTGTATTTTTATTTTACCTTGAAAAGAGTAGGGAAATGCAATGAAGTAATAGGGTCCAAATTCAGGCGGAGGCTTGTACGTTTGATTACTCAATGAAAATCCGATTCTTTGAACTTCTGACCTGTTAAAATACTGTCCTGTCGGTGGAAAGAGCGCGAGTTGCACTTGAAGATAATCATCACCATTGAAGAAAGGGTTTTGTAACGAAACTGAACCAGGTGTTAAACTCAATTTCACCCATAAGCTCATTTCAAGTGAATGGAAAATAGTTATATTAGTGAGTTCTCTAAAATAAGGTCCCCTAAAATAAAATGTTCCTTGATATGGACATGCACATTCGCAACTTTGTGGACTGAGTTTTTGATCTGGTGGACATGGTCGTCCTCCGCAATTAGCCAAGCTAGTTGAATAGGGTTGTTTCGGCTGTTGCTGAAGGTTGCAGTCGTTTGTATTAGAGAGGAGACCAGTACTGCATACTGGATTTCCTACGAGACTGCATAGGTATAAGAGAAGTAAAAAATAAGTCAGGTCAAACAGAGCCGAAGCGTGTCATATTACAAAGGTAAAAAGTGTCTCACATCAATGTGTTTTTGTACTGTGAACCCACTGTTACCGATGCAATCTTGTTGTCTTGTAAATCCACAAGCTGCAATTGAGGACAAATGTTGTCTCCCATTTCAAGTGTATTGTTCAATGCATTGTGTCTTAGTTTTCTGAGAATAATTTAAAACATAAAAATTATGGTTACTCATACCATTGTTTGTTTGCCGGGCAGTGTGCAAGATGGACTACTGCGCACACCGTATAAAATTTGCTAGATAAATCATGACTAAATAAGGTCTCATAAAATATTTGTCACGGTTAAATCATGGCAACATAGGTCCTATCTTTTCTTTGCCATAATTTAATTGTGATTAACCTATACATAACATCCAAAAACTTCGTCCCCGTCTTTTTTTAATATATACTTATCTTCTACATAGAAATTTGGGACTTACATTTGTTGTATTTGAGGAAGGCTGAAGAGTTCTGATGGAAGAGTACCTTCAAGAGATCCAAACTCCATAATACTAACCATAGTATAGGGTTATGAAGTAAAAACATTCTTGTTAGATTTCATAACTTGATAAGCAAGAAACCTTTTTTTTTCTCTGGAATTTATAAACTTACAGTGTGGTGAGTTGCGGTAGAGATGAGAACCAAGTTGGAGCTTCTGATGGATCAAAGGAATTGTTACTAAGATCCCTATATAATCAACCATGTATTTAAATTGCATTAGCCATTTAAAAAGTTGTGGTAAAAATTGTCAAAATTTTTGGTTTTAGAAACTCATGCCAATTACTTACACATAATTTAGGGTATCCATTGATGTTAAGTCCGGCAAAGGACCAGACAATTTGTTGTGTGCTAAGTTCCTGTAAGAAAACAACTCATCGGTGTTATAAATTTCTTTTATATGTTGACTTAACAAATCTAAGTACTTACACCAAATTGATGTTACTAAGTTTGTTGAGATTCGAAGGGACTTCTCCTGTCAAGAAATTTCTATCGAGCCGACTGTCATAAATTAAAACAATCAACAAAAAGTTAATCAAATACTACAAAGGAGTATATTCGGTATAATGGAAATAAAAAATAAAAGGAAGAAGGAATGTTAAGGAAGGAACTACTTACAGAACCTCAACTGTATGAACTAGTCCTATAGTCGAAGGTATACTCCCGATTAATTCATTTCCATCTAACAATCTGTCAGAAAGAAAACAAAAGATCAAACACTACGAAAATTGAGAATATGATCTTATAAAAACCTATAAATGCTAAAACGTTAACTTACATGTGAATGAGTACCATGTCAGAGTTGAAAAGCTTGGGAGAAATGGAACCAGAAAGCTGGTTCTTATTGAAATGGCTTCACAAATACCAACCAAAACAATGATGATATAATATTCGCAAATGTCAACAAAGAAACAAAAATAGAATAACAAAACAACTCACAAATGCTTAGCATGTAAAAGTTGGTCTAAGCCGGGGGATGTGGAGGTCGAAACCGGGAGAGGTCCTGTTAGCTGATTATCTGCCAAGTCCAACCAATAAAGTTTGGATAGTTTGCCCAATGATGAAGGTATTTTTCCAGTGAAGTTGTTTGAATTTAAAGCCCTGAATAATAATGAGTGGGAATCACTTATTTTGTTAAGCATGTCAAACATGTCTTAAAAATGGACCAAGATCGAATCCATCAAACTTCTCGAGTTCAATTCAATTGGTTCAACCACCGAACTGGCCAGAAAATTGGTCAGTTCGTGGTTCAACCGATTGAACCGGCCAGTTCCATCCGATTTTTAGAACTTCGGTAAAATGGTTCTATCAAGATTATTCTTACAAGAAAGATAGGTCTGAAAGGTCCCCTAATGCATCTGGAATATTGCCACTGAAACTGCAACCAGCCAAAATCCTGAAACAACGAAGTATAAAGCATTATGCAAATCACTACAAGTTGCACATGAAATGACTTCAGAAAATTAACTGGTTTTGTGAATCTAACTTACAGAATGTTTAGGTTTTTTAAGGCTGCTAATTCTGGAGAGATAGAACCCATTAAACCTTTATTAAAGGATAAGTCCCTGCAGTTACATGAATTGATATAGTTAATATGCAAATACATGCTATGGAAGATTTTTTGTTCCTTTATTTACAATACTTTTTAGTAAGAATCATAAAAACCAATGGTCTAAAAAACGACCCGTTACCGCAAAAATGGTCGAGACAAACGGTATCGGAAGGTGCCGATATTGTTATTCATCATTTTTATGATGAAAAAGAAATTATGGTTAATTCACACTGCGGCAACCGCAACACGTATCGCAAAACCTGTACCTAAGCGTTTACGCGACCGCAACATGATCGTTAACCTTGATAAAAACAATACTTACAAGGATCTTAATTCTGTGAGTCCACCAATATCTCCACCTAATGTACCCTTGAGTCCCATGGTTGACAGTCTCCTATATTTTTAATGCACATGACAAAGTATTTTTCTTAAGTTAGTAGTTGGAAAAGTACTTTTAAGTGCTTAAAAGGATCAATAATGTTCTTGAAGTTTATTACAATGAAGTAACCCTTGATCTGTTGCAGGTCACTCCTTCCCATGGTGCTCCACAAGGGTCATCTGACTTGTCCCAGCTTGGTGGTGTGTTTTTCCATGTTTCTTTTAGAGATCTAAGTGCAGAAACTGCAACAATATATAACCATTATAACCAAAGCACTTTTTGAATAAACAACGTACTATGAAGGGAAGTGATAGAAAATTACCATCTTGAGGATCAGTAAATGAAGATATAAGATGAAGTTCAGCCCATAAGAATACCAAAAAGAGCATCACATTTTGCATTTCCATGTTATCAAAAGTTTTCAATCAATTTCTTGACCAATTGCTGATTATGGCACAAACAATAAGATCAGACAAAAATATTTGTCTCAAGCAAAGAAAGAACATGCATTGTATGTAACATGATAACTAGCAAAAAGCATGGAGAAGTGTAGAAAGTTTAAGGTAAAGAGGAAGTAGTGAAAAAAAAACAATATACTATGAGGTTTCATAAAGGACAAAACAATGAAAAAAAAGTTTGACTTGGTTGTTTCCTACTCTAGTCTTTTGATGATTTTTCTTATCTTAGAAGCTAATCAAATTAAGTGTATAATATTGTATGAAACTTTCTATAACACAATCATTGCATTTTTTCCGACTTTTCAAAAAATAACTTCTTCACAGACGAATTGGTATGTTTTCCTTTTCTTCACTGCTCAGCTAGTTGCTGTTAAGTGTTTTGTCATTATTAATTTTACTTTCTTAGGACCAATAGAAAGATATCTTGCAACTTGTGCATCAATGCATTTATTATTATCAAGTTATTGACAGCAGTTGGGTAGGTTTGACATGGCCCCTCCTCACTAAATCGCATATATCTATTTCAATGAGTTGTAGGGAAAGTTATACACACCACATATATATATATATATATATATATATATATATATATATATATATATATATATATATATATATATATATATATATATATATATATATATATATATATATATATATATATATATATATATATATATATATATATATATATATATATATATATATATATATATATATATATATATATATATATATATATATATATATATATATATTGGGTAAGCATTTAATTTTATTGTTCTCCACTAATTTTCTAATTGATCTAGGACATATCTGCTTACCTCTAAGGTTAGACGTAATTACCAGAGACCTGCCTCGATTTTGGAGACTTTCCGACTAGTTTCATCCAGCAAGTCTTAGGATCAAAATTAATGTTAATCAATTGTAAATATATAATGTTAAGAATATTTGTATGTAGAATAGTCTCATATTGATTATATCGTTAATTAGTTGTAATCTCTCTCTCTCTATATAATAAAGTCTCCGTAGTGCTTTCAAAATACACGGTTTAACCTAAATATCTCTTAGTCTCTCCTAATTCAATATGGTATCAAAGCCTTCTAAAAGGCAATTCTTCGTCGTATTTTACCTGGTTGACCCACTGTCTTCTGGTGAAATTTTTTCTTCTGCATACTGTGTCATCATTCTGGTTTGCCTCACCTTTTTTTTTAAATGTTTTTCCAACGACCTCCACTGCCGCACTGTCCACGGGGAAAAAAATTTCGGGGCTACTGTTCACTATTGTCACTGTTCACCGTCGTTGCACTGTTCACCGACGTCGCTACTATTCATCGTCGCCGCTACTGTTCACGAAAAAATTATTGGAAAATCACCTTCCTCCTCCGGTTTCAGATCCGCCCCCGGTTTCTATTTTCGACTCACAAAAAGTCATACTCTTGTTCAAACAACCACAATTGTTGTGTTTTAAGCCATAGGAGATGTTGATTTTGTCTCGTTTACTAAAGTTCCGCTTATTTCATGTGAAAAACTAACTGGATCAACCAACCATAAAATATGGACTTGTGTTGTCTAGATGTGGTTTCACGGTCAAGGACATAAAGAGCATCTAACCACCCATTGAGTGACGTTGCAGCCGTCAAACTCGCTAAATGGAAGAAAATGTATGCCTCTTTGTATACTGTATTGTGGTTTTCCATATCACCTAACCTCCAAGCACAGTACCAAACATTCTCCACTTGTTATGAGGTGTGGCAAAAGGCCAACAAAGTCGTTTTCAACGACGTTCATTCTCTATACAATGTCATCCACAAACTCAACACACTGAAGTTGGAAAATATGGATGTGCAAGCTTATTTGAGTAAGCTTGATGCCTTGAAAGCAAGTTACGCAACCCTCATGCCTTACGCAAAAGATGCAATAGCTCACGCCGAATAATAGAGTAAATATTTCATGGTCATGGCACTTAAAGGACTACCATCAGAACTCGAATTCGTTCGCAACCAGATTTTATCAGGTTCTACTATTCCTAACTATGATACAATTAGTGAATAATTGTTTCGCTTGGATACACCTCATGCGTTTGGCCCGGTTTCTCCTCCATGTATTGTTATTCCAACACCAGGTGACACTTCTTCTCTTGCATCTCTTGGCAACAATCAAAATCTCCTTTGAGGAGGGTCATCCAACTCCAAACCTCGTCTTAAGTGTGACCATTGTAACCATCTTGGACATATTATCGATCGTTGTTGGAAGTTGCATGGCAAACCTCTACGGCAGGTAAATGCAACTCAAATTGATAACCCAAACACTATGCAGACTTCACCTTATCTTCAGAACCCTACGCCAAGCTACGAGGATTTTCTCAAGTGGTGTCAGACTAACCAGACCTCTGGTTCCACGACTTCGATTAAACACATTGGTAATTCATCTATTTGCGTCTCTCAATCATCTCCTCTTAGTCCTTGGGTCCTCGACTATGGTGTGTCTGATCATGTTACCGGTAATAAAAATCTTTTCTCTTCCCTTTCTACCTCTGGTTTCTTACCGAGTATAACTACCACAAATGGTTCTGAAACTCGATCCTAAGGGATCGGTACTGTTCAAATTCTACTATCTCTCTTTGTTACTTATGTCCTATATGTACCTAATTGCCCATTTAATCTACTGCCAGTCAGTCGTTTAACTCGTTTCTTTAATTGTTCTATCACCTTTACTAACAGTGATGTTATTCTACAGGATCGAAGTTCGGGACAAACGATTGGTGTCGGATGTGAGTCTCAAGGCCTCTACTACTTCTCTATGTCATCTACCACATGCTCCACCATAAATTCTCCACTCACTATACATGCGTAGTTAGGTCATCTAAGTCTTCCCAAGCTATAAAATTTGGTGTCCAATTTATCTAAATTATCCGCTTTATAGTGTGAGTCTTGTCAATTAGGGAAACATACTCGTAGTCACTTTCCCGACCGAGTTAATAAATAGTATGTATCCCCTTTTGCTTTAGTTCACTCTGATGTTTCGGGTCCATCGCGTATCGTGTCTACTTTTGAGTCTAGGTATTTTATAACATTTATTGATGATTTTTCACGTTGCACGTTGTGATACGGTGGCAGAACCGACTATTTTTTGTTACTACTGATTTTGCGTTTTTTGTTCGCAAATGTATGATAAGCAAGAGTCGCCACCGACTTTTATTTCATCCAACAAAGGAAAAGGGAAAAGAACAGAAAAAATATTTTTCGAGATGTTTCTGAGTACGGGGGGTAGATTATAGAAAGGGAGGTGTTAGCACCCTTTCTATCCATGGTTTTCCATGGGCTCTTAGGTACTTGCTCATTTTTAAAATTTCTTTCGTGTGTTTGAAAAGTTTTGAAATTGCCTTAGTGCAGCGTTCACTTTATGGTAACCCTAGTATCAGTCCTCAAGGGTGTGATAAAATGTTTTTGAAAACTTTAGTTTGAAAAGTTTGTTTGAAAGTGTATATGTAAAAATTTGTTGTTTTGAGCAAGTACCTAAAAGTTTCTACCTACTCGAAAAAAGTCTGTTCATTTTCTTATTTCCTTTAGATAGTGTTATCCTACTATTAAGGAGTAGGTAGCTCCATCGTTGGATTTTAAGGGACAATCGAAAGGGACGAAAGGGACAATTACGATCACTAAAGCAATGGTTTGAAAACCTTAGTAATTACCCTAGAGTCCTAACGATCTTTCCGAGGTAAAATTCAAATGGGTCATGTTTTATCTTTTGGGACTAGAGGACAACCACTAAGACTCCCTATACTTGATGATCATTTACCGAAGGCAACCGAAGTGGGGCAAATCCTAGGAGTGAGCATGTGCAAGTGTTTATTTATCTTTGCACAATTAGGGTTTTCTACTGTATTAATTTGATTTATCTTTTACATACAAGCCTATTATCCATACATCTAGATAGTTTATAGTTGCAGAAAATTAAAATCAGAAAAGTAAATCTACGCTATTACAAGGCTTCGGGGAGGGGCTTACATAACCAAAAAAACTGGGGATTGAACAGTAAAATAATAAGCAGTAAAATAAACCCTAATTAAAAGCTATTACAAACTCGAAGCAAATACAATAATTGGAATTAAAAATAAAATATTGTGTGCGCAACGAATTAAATACGGGAATCAAAGTCTAAATTCAAAGGAAATCAAAGAAAAAAATTTGTTGTTTTTTTATTGAGAAAATTAAATATTTGCAAATTAACCCTAATTTTCTAATTGATTTTAATTATGGAAAAACAAATTTAAATTTTCCTAATTAAATTAATGTAATTAATTAATGAAATCAATTATTAAAAAAAACCTAATTCTAATGTTTGATGATTTTATGATTTTATGATTTAGTAAATAAAAATGTTTTTTTAAAAATAAATAAAATAGAATAATAAAAAAAATAAGAAAGAAAAAACAAAACTGGGTCTGTTGCTGGAAGTGAACTGGGGGTACGAAGTTGAAATTGCCAAGGCCCAGAGTGGTTGGCCCATGTTCCTTGCGTGTGATCCCCTGTGGATTAGCTTCAGAGAATGCACCATGGGCTGCTGTGGCTGGATGCTGGATTTGGATCAAGGGATGATCCAAAGGGTAGGATTTGTGAGCGCATGATGGACGCATGGAATAATGATATATTGAATCTGCAGTAAATTGTTAAGAAAAATAATAAAAGCACACGCTAGGGATCGAACCGAGGACGTTTGTTTCATAGGCACGCTCCTCAACCATCTGCGCTAGCTGGACCTTTTGTAAATATAATAAAACAAATAAAATATAATGGAAACAAAGTGTCTTGCCCAGAAACACGCGCCAAATTCAAATGAGCCAGTGTGTGGCTGCCACGTGATCGTCTTCCTCCCAGAACTGTTGTTTTTGGTATTAGACTTTTACCTACGGACAAAACTGTCACTAAAGGCTATAGTGATAGTTTTTGTCCGTAGCTAAATCCCTGCAAGATTCAAAAACATAATATATGCAAAATAAATCCTATCAAAAGGCATAGGTCGACTGGAAATCATGCCCTAAGTTCATTGGTACCCATAATCTGGTCCAATTTCCCTAGAGAAGGAAACCCCAAATTAGAGCTTACGAACCCTAGCCATGGCAAATGCTTATACCTGCACTTAAACTCAGATTAAACAATCCAGAAACATTGCAAATATGATGATAGACACGAATATATGATCAAAGCATGTTTATGATGGGTAAATCAATGAATTCAAGTTTGGATAAAAGAGACAAACCGTGATGTTGTAAGGGCACGATTCTGGATGTTTCAGGCTCTGTGGATGATGTGAATAGCTTCTTGAGTATGCGTGGATGATTACTGAAGACTCAAAACTCCTTGAATTGGCCTATGGAGAGCGATTCGATCTGCACTTTTTCCCAAAATTTGCAACTTTGTTCTTGCTGTTTTACACGACCAACCCCATTTTCATGCCTCGAGAAT